CTGCGCTTTAATTGCGATCAAACAGACAAACATATTTAATAGAACGCTATTTAAACCTTTATTATATATACTATAAGGTCTATTTTTACGTGGATTATGTTATATTTAAGTTTGCCAAGGCAGTCTGGTCCCATCGGGTGCATGAAAAATGTATGAAGCTTCATCTCAGGCTGCGAGTAAAAACCTTGAGTATTGAAGAGGATTTTGATTGGTGTTCGGTTGCAAAGGGTTTTATATTACACCTAAGAAATGTTCAGCGTCATTACCAAAGAATAGGGCTTAGAAAATGGACGTATTAAGTCAGTTACTCGTGTTCCCATGGCGCTCTACAAACATCTATACATTTGTTATCATCCCATCACAGTATTTAAGTTGAATTTCGTCTGTGAATTAATTTTTAATATAAATACATATTATAGATATATTACAACGGTTTTTTGCACTTTCTACTAGATACTAGTAATCGTTCTTGGTAATACATATATAATAATTAAGACTATTTTTATCAAATAGCATTAACTACAGGGACATAATATTTAAATAAAATGTAACTAGCATTAGTTCTTTTAGTAGTAGTTATAATATATACTAGCAGTCTATTTTCTATTTATAATTTTGTATCTCGATAACTAAGCATTTATTTTCCTTTAGCACCAATCTTATTTCACATATTCAAATCTAATCATCATTACACATAAATCTATGTTAATATTATCAATATACATTGCTTATTCTTCCTAAACTTTAACTAAAATACCCATACAAATATAAAATACAAACCAAAAACCATCCATTGAAGTCAGCATTGTCAAAGCTACGTTACAATAACCAATCAACCTGTTATGTCCTTGCAATAAAACATTTAAAAGCTTTAATATTTTTTTCCCTGGACAGTGCTAACAACATTTTTAGCGATTCTCATTGTAAGGCCTGCCAACATTACGAATTAGTTCCGCGTAGCGCCCGCGGCGCCACACCAAGCTTCAACAGAAATTGACATCTCATTGTATGTAACATTTTAAAATAACGGGCTAATTGCTTCACGAAAAAACGACACATGATCTGATTGCGAGATAGAAAATTAATTTTTGTCTGAATTCTTTATGTTTTGTTGGAGATATTTTAGTATCGTTAATTGTAGTTCTAAGTACGTCCACGGAGGTTTGATATGGTGGCATCTTTGATATTTCATTTATTCAATATGCTTCGATGGGGGCATTCAAGAAATATTTGTGTTTATTGGTTGGTAGTCATTATTATTTTCAAGTTGGTATCAATTTTGACTGTTATTTAGTGAATATATATGTTAGAAACAAATTGCTTTTCCAGTATCAAATAGATATAAGTATTTTATTGTTTTTTTTTTTTATTTCACTTTACTTTGAAATCATTTAGTTTTAATGTTTTTGTAAAAATAAAGTGATTACGTGATTGTTTTTAATGAAATTTTAATACGTATAAAATGTTTTTCATAAAAACCTAAGATATATGTAAAGATAGTAATATCTTGTATAACTAAAATTCACATTGACAATCTAGGATGAAAGGATACTTCAATCGTTTTAATTAATTCAGCGTTAAAATATATAATATTTTGTACTTTCTTTGTACAAGTAAGTTGTATAAATATCTCATGTTATAGTTAAATAACATTGTCGTTTAATTGAATCTGTTTGTGAGTTGTTCTGCCCAGGGCGCGTCGGGAGTGTCTAATTTGTGTTTTGATTACACGTCGGTAAGGAGATGTTGTTGCCTCCTGATTTACTGGCCATATTTCGGCGTATATACAGGGTGCTCCGAGCGTTGATTGAATAATAATATACTAAACATCCTATATAATAAATTAATTTTAATTTGTATGTACAAATCCTTCAATCCATTTTAATTTACGTCACAAAGATTTAATATCTTTTATATTACATAATGTCTAGACTATTTTTATATTAAGAAAGATTAAATTGAACAACTAAAACTTCCTAAATATTATGAAAAATGTTTTAAATATAAGAATTTTGCATATATGTATAAAGATAACAATGGGTAATATAATTTATCAAACAGCCGTAGCATAATTTTAAATTGCACGTATTTTTTGAGCAGATTCATAAATGTTAATTTTATTAGTATTGCGTTAAGCGGCGAGTTATAACATTAAAGGCTGCCTGATGTCGGATGTTTAATGACAGAGTAACTTAATATACTCACCCGCGGCTCGCAGGGGCAGGGACGAATTACATTTTTTTGTTACTAATTTATAAGATACAGGGTAAAGACATATTTGTTATTATTGTATAGGTCATGAAATTAACTAAATTACGTTAAAATATGGACTTCGTCTGTACAAAGACTTTCATCCATATTATGACAATGACGAACTCCTGTTAAAACTATTTCGAAACTACAATTTGACAGTAGTCTTGTTCTTAAACGATTGGTTAATAATAATAATACTAAATATTCTATACAATTAATTGTTAATATTAAAAAAAAATCTTATATATAATTGTTTATTCATTTTTAAATGGAATATTAATCTTGAGTGTTTTGTTACAAAGATTTTTTGAGAAATAATAATTCTTGTACTTTAATTTTTATACCTATCTTTATTTTCAATGTAAAAGTTAGTTAGTCTTGTTGACTAAACGTTTGTCATTTTTTCAAGTAACTTATAAATTGTTTTTAATGGAACTTACTTATTTTTCTTTTATTCTGTTTCAATTAAGTTTTAATTATCAATCTATTTGTAATCTAAATGTGAGTTTTATCGGGAAATTGTCTTTGATTGAGTTTGTTAAATCAGAACTCGTCTGTATCCTTACCATAAGTCCTCATCATCACACTACACACTCAGCGTTTCTTGTTTCTCACTCAATAACCTACGTCAATACTATAACTTCAAGATGTATGAATGAAAAACTTTAAACGTAACGTATGTAGTGACGATAGAAACTTGTCGTAAACTTGATTAATAATATGGGATATGATTTATTCAGTAATTGGATAACAGTAGTAAATTACTTTAAAGTTCTTGAATTTTTTTTTTATGAACAGGGAATAAAAAGATTCTAGTATCAAATTTTAATAAAATATATGATTTTCCATATTCATTAATAGCACTAGTTGTAACAATGACTTTGTCAATTCGGGATAGATATATTAAAATGTTTATACATATAAAAATACCGTAAGTTAATCTTTAATACATAAATAATATCAGTGGATGTCCTATTACAACAAAATCAGATATTAAAGAAACAATAAACAGACATATGTATGTATTTAAAATAATTATATATTAAAATATTCATCATCATCATCATCAGCCTATCGGAGTCCACTGCTGAGCAAGGCCTCTTTCTCACATGGAGAAGGTTTGAACATTAATCACCACGCTCGCTCAAGACGGGTTGGTGATTTCAAACTTACAATTTGAAATTATAAGTCCAGGTTTCCTCGCGATGTTTTCCTTCAGTAGTCAGTGGTGTCTAAATACTCTTAGAAAGCACATATGACTCGGAAAAATCACATTGGTACTTGCCAGGATCGAACCCGCGCCCTCATATATGGGAGGCGGGCGTTTTAACCACTAGGCCATTACTGACTTATTAAAATATTATCATATATGTATTAAAGAAATTTTAATATTACAATTAAACGTATAGTATTTTTTTATGAGAATGTTTTCGCAGACGTAATAAATGAATGCACATGACCGAACATTTAGTTTATCTGCTTCGTTGAAAGGGCGATTTCGAACAAAAGGTTGTGATGGAACTGTCAAGTGGGGCCCACCCGCGGGATGCAACTAGTCCCTGGATACTCTTTAGTGATCTGACTATCAACTCACAACCCTCAATCTCTATTCTCATGGTAGACGACAGATATATAATTAAAAAATGTTTTATTACTATCGTATTGACAAACGGACGTTATTTATTATAGACTAGTTTTTGCCCGCGACTTCGTCCGCGTTAGTTTGGTCAAGAGTAATATATGTAGGTATAGCTATAGCTGACCAGTCGAACTCTATTCCGTCTTAGAGGCCATAAATAATCAGGGTTTTTCTGTTTCAATCAAACAGAATTGACATATTAGTTAGTTGTCAAATCTAATGTCAAAAAACACGTTGGTATGGGAAATAGAAAAGGGCTGTTTTTAGAGTTTTCCCGGCAATTATTCCAATTTTTCTCACCTTTTAAACCTTCCCTGGACTTCCACGAGTATTTCAAGACTAAAATTATCCAAATCGGTTCAGCCGTTCTCGAGTTTTAGCGAGACTAAAGAACAGCAATCCATTTTTATATATATAGAAGATTATATGTATATGTATAAGTTTAAATAGAATTTAATAGATATTGTAAAACAGAAAATAAATGTATGCGTCCCGGGGAAGTGATGACTTAAATTATTTAATATAAAAACTGTTTAATTTATAAACAGTTTACATTATTTAAATAAAACTATAATAATATATCTAGCAACCGGTTGAGGTAAAATAACCGAAACGTAGGGAGTATGGAGTTTAAAATGATAAAAATGGAATATAAATCTGAAAATATTAGTTTTATTTAAATGAATACTTACAAAGACTTAGATATCATTATGTTTAGTTTGAGTTGAATTTTACATACATTAGATTGATAATGTGAAGAAAGGTTAAGTTATTATTAAAATCTTTTATAGAAGATAAGATATATTATCGTTAGTTATGATTCTTGAATTTAATTTGTATTCTGCGTATATACATTATTTAATCCTATAAGAGTATTTGGCTTACGGTATCTAAAACAAGACGCCGTTACGCGTTACGTTACGTTACGTTATATCATCACTTCAATATTAAATAAATGATACATATATTAATTAAACAATATTAAATAACGCAAAAGGAAATAACCACAAACGAACGATCAGTAGGTTTTGTGAGAGAAGGCACTAGGGCTACAAAATCAAACGTCAAGCCTTACTCCATCCTTAAAGCGGCGTCGGATTGGACTATAATGATGGACACGTATGAAAAGCAATATAAAATCCCCGAGGATATTTGTGCGTCGGCCTCCAGACCGGATATATTTTTGTTTTCGCGAATTCTAAAGCGCGTAGTGATGATAGAGCTTACGGTCCCTTGGGAAACCAACATCCCCAAAGACCATACCATCAAGGTCAACAAATATTACGAGCTCACAAACGAACTCACTCGAAATAGGTTCGTAGTAGATTTGTACGCGGTAGAGGTGGGAGCGAGAGGTATAACAGCGAAATCTCTCTACAACCTACTAAAGGACTTGGGCTTGTCCAGAACTCACATAAATGCATTCTTGGAACGTATATCGAAGGCAGCCCTAGTAGGTTCTTTTCAAATTTGGTTAGGTAGGGAGAGGAGCTTGGACAGTGGAGGTGAGCGTATAACGCGCGTTAGTTAAGGGGCCCCTTAAACCTACACTTGGGTCGCAAGTCCCAGGCACTGTTGAAGCTCCTCTCCCTGCAACGCGATGGACCCGGCACCCGCACGGTGAATCCATGGAATGCTTAGTAGTTTCGTCTCATTTAAAACGACTGCCCGGAGAGACGGGCTGACGCTGGAAAGACAGCTGACTGCCGGAAAGACGGATGACTGCCGGAAAGACGGATGACTGCTGGAAAGACAGCCGAGGGTAACGGCCTAGCAAGCCCAGCCCGGTATATATAAAGCTAAAAGTCCGAATAAGAAAAATACCCCTGGGACAGTCCGAGAGGGGGGGCGGAAGATCTGTCCACCGGTCGATTTTAACGGCGAAAATGGCGCGAATACGGACTTGAAATGCTCTACGTGCGGGAAAATTTACAAGAGACGAGCCTGGTACATTAAACATCTCAAAACACATAATGGTGTTGAAGCACGACAGTCGTCGGTAAGATCTCCAACTATCACTTCGGATAGAGTTGACCCTCACGTATCCCATGGTGAACCATTAACTGGAAACCACCAGGAGTCCATTAACATCAGGACACGTCTTAGCATTCCTAATGTAAAACAATCGACTTGGAAAGTTCATGACGACAACTTAGCGGTCCTGTTAGAGCATCCGGGCTCGAAGCAGGAATTAAACTCGCAGGTAGAAACTTTCCAAAATACCGTTTATGACTACTTTAGCGAGCAATATCCACCACGTAATCGTTATGCTCGCAAAAATAAAGACAATTCGTTCAAAATAAAAATGCGGAAGAAAAAACGGGAATTAATAAAAAATCTACGTATAGCCAAAGCTCTAGGCGACAATCACCTTAGTCATCAACTAGCTAGGGCGCTAAGGTCAATCCTTAAATTAATCCAAGGAATATCGGCGCAAACTGCAGAATATATCGCGATAATTTTGACCGGGCAAAACAAGAAGTAGATTTCGATAAAAACCCCTTTGAGTATTCGAAAACCATTTTTAAGAAAGAACGCGGACAGCTTCTCTTGACCAACGATCAAATTTACGACCATTTTAAGAGCACATACGAAGTGCCTAAAAGTTTAAGACGGTATAGGGATCCAAACGATCAAAAACCTGAATTTCCTCGAATCGAATTCCACGGCATTCCACCAACGCTAGAGGAACTAAATAGTCAGATCAAGAGGAAGTCGTCTAAATCTGCACCGGGACCCGATGGTATCCCATATATAGTCTTTAAAAAATGTCCATCGGTTCGTAAACACCTCCTAAATATATACGGTAAAATCTGGTCAGGGAAGCAAATCCCGGAGTGCTTCGGGAAAGCAATTTTTGTCCTCATTCCCAAAAAAGATATAGTTACTGATCCGAAAGATACTAGACCGATAGCTTTAACAAATACTATATCGAAAATCTTTTTCTCGGTTCTACAAACGAGAATGACGCGATTCATGCTCAGCAACAACTATTTTAGGCCAAATCACCAGAAAGGGTTTTTACCCGGGATTTCTGGATGCCTAGAACACAACACCTTGCTGTCGGAGAGTTTGAAAGATGCTAGAAAAAGCGAGCGGCAAATCACTGTTTGTTGGATAGACTTGGAGAACGCGTTCGGGTCGATACAACACGAATTGATGCTATTCGCGCTTAGATGGTACAACTTTCCACCCCTAGTTAGAGATATGATCGCGTCGTATTACTCAAAATTAAGGTTTTCTATAATAACTAAAGAAGGCCCTTCAAAAAGTTTGAGTTATAATGTAGGACTGTTTCAAGGTTGTTGTCTATCTCCAATTACGTTTAATATCGTTATTAACATCTTAGTAGATAAATTAATCTGTAACGAGAAAAAATGGGGTTATCGGTTTAAGTTTAATAATAAATACACGGAATCCATTTTAGCCTTCGCTGACGATCTCGCAATACTGACACGTAACCCCAAACACTGTCAAGTACTATTGGATGAAGTGGATAAATTCTGTGAATGGACGGATGGATTGAGGACAAAACCCAGTAAATGTCATTGTCTGTGTCTTGGTAGGCGGAATACAAGATACACCTCATACGATCCGGGACTATCGTTAGGCGGTCAATACATTTCTACGGTTACGGAAAATGCACCATTTAAATTTCTCGGTCGTAAGATTGATAATATAGGCCGTACTCCATCTTTAGAAGGAATAGTAGATAGCTTTTTGAACGATCTTAACAAGGTAGATAGCCAACTGATAAGTAACGTCAAAAAAGCGTGGATCTACGAGAATTACTTAACTTCACGTTTGAATTGGCCTTTCCTCGTCTATGATTTTAATAAAACCCTTTTGTCAAAGTTAGATGCAGGCGTCATAAAGATGTTGAAGTTGTGGCTCGGGCTCGCTCTAACGGCTGATTCATCGGCGTTATTTAGGGGAAGCAATAGTTTTGGATGAGTCTAAAAAGGCCATCGGAGCTCTATAAACACCTAAGAGTTTCCAAGAGATATATCCTGGGGAAATCCCATGATGACATAGTGACATCGCTCCCAAAAGATGAAGATGCCCCCGAGCTAGAGTCACGACTTCAATTCCATAAGCAATTTATGATAGGAGCACAAAGTAACAGAGCGGGGTTAGGATCAAATAGGAAAGTCCAAGATGCGGATATATTGAAGTCTTTTATTCGGCAAGACGAGAATGATAAATATAAGATCCATGCAATGAATTTAGAAATGCAGAACGAGTGGTTAGACATAGGAGATTTTTGCATCCCATTAGCATTAAAATGGCGCACTTTAATTTATGATTGGTCGCCAGCATTGCTAAAATTCTATCTCAATGCGTTCCAGATGACTCTCCCAGATCAGAGTAATTTAGTAAGATGGGGTAAAAGTACCGAAAAAACTTGCTATATCTGTGGAAAGGCAGTTGGAACTGCTAAGCATCTGCTGGTGGGATGTAAGGCACTCCTGGACAGCGGTCAATACTCGCGTCGTCACGATAGGGTTCTAGAAGTCATACGTGAAGCGGTTAGTCTTTCGGTAGCCAGAGCGCAAAAGGAAATAACCACAAACGAACGATCAGTAGGTTTTGTGAGAGAAGGCACTAGGGCTACAAAATCAAACGTCAAGCCTTACTCCATCCTTAAAGCGGCGTCGGATTGGACTATAATGATGGACACGTATGAAAAGCAATATAAAATCCCCGAGGATATTTGTGCGTCGGCCTCCAGACCGGATATATTTTTGTTTTCGCGAATTCTAAAGCGCGTAGTGATGATAGAGCTTACGGTCCCTTGGGAAACCAACATCCCCAAAGACCATACCATCAAGGTCAACAAATATTACGAGCTCACAAACGAACTCACTCGAAATAGGTTCGTAGTAGATTTGTACGCGGTAGAGGTGGGAGCGAGAGGTATAACAGCGAAATCTCTCTACAACCTACTAAAGGACTTGGGCTTGTCCAGAACTCACATAAATGCATTCTTGGAACGTATATCGAAGGCAGCCCTAGTAGGTTCTTTTCAAATTTGGTTAGGTAGGGAGAGGAGCTTGGACAGTGGAGGTGAGCGTATAACGCGCGTTAGTTAAGGGGCCCCTTAAACCTACACTTGGGTCGCAAGTCCCAGGCACTGTTGAAGCTCCTCTCCCTGCAACGCGATGGACCCGGCACCCGCACGGTGAATCCATGGAATGCTTAGTAGTTTCGTCTCATAAATACAAATTAAACTAATAACAAATAACATTATAATTAAATAATGTTTATGTGTATACAAAGTTAAATAGCTATATGTGGGGTCGTGTGGACCCCATTCATGCATCTTCAGATAAGTGTTATCATCTCGGGGTAACAGCGAGTTAATTTGGCCGCGTGTCGGGACTCGGGACCCCCGAGCTTTATATCCCAGGGGTAAGGATTATGGTTCAATGTAATTGATAATAAGCTGACGATAAAAATGTATATAAGATGTTGTAAATTTGAGAATATACATATAAAATTTAATATATACATATATATTATTAAAATGAAGTTTAAAAAAAATATTATATGCCAGATTAATTTCTGTTTTTTTTTTTTATAGTATATATTTCATAATTTTTATGTCCCACTGTTAATAATCAAAATAAAATTATTTTTACACGACACTGCCAAAATATGCTATGCAAATCTCTGTCATGGAGGCCATATTTACCACCAACTGAGATTATTTTTAACGGAATGTATTTTTTTTTCAAATCATATAGTGTTAATAGAATGTGTATGTCAGTGAAAATTATAGTGTAGGTACATTTCACTTGTTTTGTTTGTAATACATTAGTCATCTAATACTCATATACTTTTATTTTTGGTTCGTTGAAGTTTCAAAACAAGATTTTCTGATTTCAAAATAATTTTCATAACATATGAACCTTAAGTAACCATTTAACTGAATTTACACAAAATATCCAATGTATTAAACAATTATAGTATACTACCTCATTTCTTTTCTGACTCATTCTTTCCTTTTCAAATCCAAAGTATTTTTATCTTTAATAAAGACTTTGGTCTACTTGGTTTTGGTAATCATGAAATACAATAAAAATATAATAACTAAATAATAAATTTAATATTAAATTGTTATATTTTATGTAAATGTACTTATATGTAAATGTAAATAAATAAGCAAAGTAAAACATTATGTGTATAGACTGAAACCACGTTTAGGAAATTACTTTTGGATGGCAAAATAGATCAAATAGAAAAAAATTGTTTTAAGAAGATATTATCAGTGCTGATATTTTTTATTATATAATAATATGATTATCTATTAGATTTATATTTTTTTTGATTGTCACTTATAAAGAATAAGAAATGACATAAAAAATTCAAAGTATTAATTTTAAATCATACAAAATAATAAATGAAATATCTTTATACTGATTAAATAGAATTAAACATTATCTTGTCCCATACAAACATAACCACACACCGAAATTACACGCACATTTGTTGAGCTAGTACTCGTAACGCGACTGTCAACACATCTGTGGCCATTACACGTGATATATTGACATCAAATAATGATTTGATTATACAAACATATTAAATACTTAAAATATTTATATTTAATTTCGATTTGATGGATAAATTTGTAAACTTAAGTATATATTTTATTTTTAAATCATTTTATGAAACATTAACTATTATTTCTTTATTTCTAAGAATTAATTTATATTTCAAGATATTTAAATTATTTCTTCAATCTAATAAAATTTTTGTCTAAAGTCTTTGTATATATTAATTTATTAAGATAACATAATATTTTGTATATTTACATTAAATACAAGGACGCCTAATAAAAAAAAGAGCAATGTTGTTAATATCTCACAGAGTCAATGAAAATCGAATAGGACATAAATAATGATGTAATTGCGGTCGACTGCGGTTTGGGGAGACGAAAGATTATACGGATATGACGAAATTAAATATATCAATTATTTCTGTTTAATATATTATTACAGTGCTATAATCATAATTATATTTAAAAAATAATAAACCCCTTCATTTTAACAACATATAGAAGAAGATGAAGAAGAGGAAATATACTTTATTGCACTCAAACACCTAGGAAATAACATTATAAACAAAAACAGAAAATTTAAGGCAAGAGCGGCTTTATCACTACAAGCAATTTCTTCATATAGTTTAGTGAACATTTTTTAATTCTTTTAAAAATAACAGAAACCATTCTATAATTAATACATATTATTTAAATTAAAATAATTACATATATCCGAACGCGTCGATTGTTAAAATGTCAAAATTTTCAAATGGCGTCGCATCCATATTTTGCTATAACAATAAATAATGCATGTTTACCAACAATACTTGGTGTTGAATCAACACTAGTGTACGTGGCATGTGTATTTTGAATTAGATGATGGGGTAATAGTATAATGGGGATCACATATTGTGCTATTAAATAAATCCCGTTAGAAATTTCGTAATAATAGCACAAGTTGAACTTCAAAGACAAGTCACTATTGTGTTTTTTTCGTAAGCAGGTGATTTGATATCATTTTTTTCTTTAATTAGTATATATGGCTGATTAGATAAAGTTTTTATATCAATTTTAGATGAGGTTAGTTAATTTGAACATAAAATATAGAAATATATGTCAGTTTCCTTTGTTATAAATTGAAATTACTTCTAAAGATATTTAAATAATAATATTAACATTTTTATCAAAACTTTTTTTATATATATAACATTTGGTTAAAAAATCTATTAAGCATCCAAATTCGTCAATCAATTAACGATTTCATTATTGATTTTAATTCTATATACAATACAAGAGATAAAATCATTACGATCTTAAAAATCGCTTTGAGAGTAAAAAAGTCTTGTCATCCATAGATCAAATTGAACAACCGTTTAACTAAATTATATGGGTCTCGTCATCTTGGTAGCGACCCCTGCTGGGCAAAAAACATTTCAGACCAAGGAGGTCGTATGCCATCTTAATTATAATAACATTAAGATTAACGAGATCACTAACTTTAAATATGATTTTTTATCTGTCATATTTCACTTTAGTTTATATTTGATTTTTTTTTAATGGCAACACAATTACGTGTTATCAATGGCAACTAAAATTATAATGTGATTTTTTTAAAGTTTACAATTATATATACTTTTCTCATAAATAACTTCTATTTGTGGAAATTATAATACATATATTACAAAACAACATGCTCTTCATGTTCGGAATCCATTATAATACAATAAAATGGCGCCTGTTAACAAAAAAAACAATATTATATCATTCTCATATTAATACATTTCACTGAAACAAAAACCGATTGAAATCACTAAAACATGGATCGCCCAAGCAGAAGCTCGCCTTAATTTTTGGCCAAATCTGAGACGAACCGCGGGTAACATTTATAGCTTTTAAATGTACAAATATATATACACGAAAATCAACACTATTTTAAGGCAATAGAGACTATATTAGCGTGAAGTAATAAACAATCAGTTTTGATCTGATAACAGTATACTAAATGAGTCGTTGTAGTAAAATACATAGCTCTTATTGTAATAACATAAAGACGAATATCGTATGAATTTTTTGTTTAAAAATCCTAACAGCGGGAGTCCTATATTAAAGAATCGTCACATCTTTGTCATGAAATTATAAGATTTTATCGGTAAACCGTCAGCTACCTATTAGTTTTTTTTTCGTGTTCAAAATAATGTACATTTTAATTTAATTACTATAGATTTGAGATAATGACATATTTAAAATTATTAGTGGCCAGTTACATTTTTTTTACATTAAAACGCCTTCAATAAGGAATTCGCAATAATATTATAAAACCTCTTTGCTTATATCTTTATATGATAAACTTGTTAAGGATTTTGCCGAAAAAAAAAACGGTTCCTTTTAAGATAGCAATCTTTATCTACGGACATAACATTTTGGTGACATTAAAGAGATTTACAAGCCATTAGAATACGTAACTTAAGACCCGTAGATAAGAAAACAAAAGGCGGTTCAGAATGCTTATGTCAAAAATTTGCCGCTCAATTTAATTAAAGATGGACGCCAAAAAGGTTTATTATTATTTAGAGATCATCAATTTTGGAGTTGTAGATATTATATATTTAAATAAATGTATGACATAATTATATTTTTTATGTTTTTTATTGTTCTTTCGAAATACTAATTTATTTTTGTCTATATAAATGTATATTTAAAATTTCAATAAGAGAACATTCTTATCCATACCTCCATAAAAAATGTCAAAAAACATTTGAATGTATCCTAATACTAATAAATACTTAAGAATATGAAAATATCTATGTATAACACCCTAAAATCAAATTTAATTCAAATAAACATTTCATTTCAATCCTATTTAACCCCTTTCAAGTGGATTTAGATCAGATTTAATAAAAAAAATCAATTGGGTAGATGCCGTGTCAATCTGAGATGGGGCTGTCAAAATTCGTTTAGGCTTCATTAAATGACGTACCACATGGATAGAATAAAAAGGTTTACAATAAAAAGGTTATATAGGTTTTAAATATTTTTTATTTTCAATTAATTTTATTTTTGAATGTTAGTAATATTAATAATAATTTAAATTGTGATGTACTTTATAATTCTAAGCTTATCGTTATTTATATTCTTATATTAATTTGGAATTCTTTTGATAGTCAACTAGCGCCCTCTATATGATATTGTAACTTACCTTCACTTAAATGTTACCTTTTAATATTATAAATAGGATACAAGTGTTAGATTGGGGATTCTTTTACGAGTTGTGAAGCATTAAACATCTAAGTGGAAGTACTGCCTAAATTATTTCTAACTGTACATTGAAGTCAATATTTTTGTTAGTATTGAATATCTTCTACCTGGCAATTTCCCAGCTTTAACCAGACTCTGCCTTACATGTTGTGAATAGTTTTGGCTAATTTACGACCGGCCGCCTGCCTGACATCAACCATTTGGGAATGCATTAATCAGTGATGTCTAAATACTCTCAGAAAGTACATAAGACTCGGAAAAATCACATTGGTACTTGCCAGGATCGAACCCGCG